CCATGGCGTGTCCAGAAATGGACACGCGTGTCCCCGCCGTGTCCCCGCCGTGTCCCCTTCCAAAAAAATCATTAAATTAAAGGGACACGCCAGATGGCGTGTCCCGTACGTGTCCACGGCGTGTCCCCGTGTCCCCGGCGTGTCCGCGTGTCGGACACTGCTACGGCATCAATTTTGGAGTGTCCATGCTTCATAGTTGATGAATGCCTATTAGAATATGAATGATTTATGTATTCATTAACATTTTATATCATGTCATCCGTTGCTATGAAAAAGAGATAAGAAGTGATAAATTTTTTTGTGAGTACACTTTTCACATCTTATATATGACTTCATACTAATATGTTAATTCCTTTTTGAGTCATATCTTTGTAGAATCAATTTTGATGTCATAACATGTTTTTGAGATGTATACTATCTATATTTTGAATTCTACATTTGTGATCTCAAGAATATTTTAATATGAAAATTTCATGCTTATATGCTTTACATTGGAATATTTGAATGAGTTGTGAAATTCCTTGATTATGATCCATCAACAATGTCTAAATGAAAAGAAATATCATACGTTTGTAGAGACATTGCATCTATCCTATTGAATATCTTTTGAATATAGATTATATTGACATACATCTTATGAAATGCTTTTGATTGATAAATTGTTGAATTAATTGTTTATAGCATTCATGTTGTATTCCATATTGAGTAAAATGTTTTATCACACTTGAGCATGTGGATTGAATTAATGAAAATGCCTCTTGATAATGTTATGTGATTAAATGAGATTGTTGCATCATTTCTTAATAAAACAAAGAGCATAAAACTATTTTCTTATGCATATTATGTTATGCGTTACAACTTGAAAATTCTGAAAAATAGCATTCTAAACTCTTGTTTGATCATTGAATTATTTTTCACCTTTTTAGTTTGTGATAAGAAGTGATTTGTGTTGTATTTTTATTGAGTAATAGTGATTGTTCTATGAATGCTACATTTATACAAAATAGAAAAGGGTAGCACTAACTTTGGGGGAGAAATCATTTTGCTAACATACTTGTTAAACCCTTTTGAGATGAACTCCTCATGAAAAAAAATTGAAGATTGAAAAACTTCTATCTGTTGAACCTAAGGTATGCCTCATATACTCTCTTAAGCTTTTGAGGTAAAAATTCTATCTTATATCTCTCGAGGTAATACTGTTATTACTTTGATATGAAAAAGATTGATTATGCTTCATATGATTTGCAATGTATACTCTTTGATGATGCTCCTACCTAAAAATCATACCTATGCTTAAATGTGTTGTACATATTGAAATTCATAATTTTTCTTAGCATATGGATTGTTATACCTTGAACATGCTTCATTTTTTTTAGAATTACATTAGCTCCATGAGATTATATTGAGTTTAACCTATTATGAGCAATATTTGGTATTCTACATAATACTTGAGCTATGATTGTTAAATATTCTAGATTGTATATTAGTATCCTTGGTAGATTGCATGTTGGTATCATTTTGGCATCCTATTTGATATTATTGACGAGAACATTTCAGTTATGAGCTTCATTTATCATATCTCCTATTGATTTTGCCAAATGAAACAAGGAAAAGAATTTAAACTTGATTATTTTTTAAAATCCCCTCAGTTTCTATTCTGTTTTTTATATCAAACTTATGGGCTTGCACCTTCACATGTTACTATTTTTTTTTTTGCCCATTATTGTCAAATGGCAGTAGTTTCAATTGTATGATCATTATGTGCTATCATTTTTTTGGTGTCATAGAGCTACCTTGATATGAATGATTATTTGTGTTATAATGAAACTTACATTCTTTCATTCTATATGCTGTACCATACTCCCTCCTTGTTCTTAATTTTGTTGAAAATGTCATCGGAAGAAAAAAAGGGACTTGATTGTTTTAGTATCTCTGATCATTTTGGTATCTCTATGCTTTTGGTATCTTAATTCTCACAACATGACATTTGAGCTGATTAGTTGTTGATAATGTAAGAGAAAGATCGTTTTCCTCAAGGAAGAGTGACTTGAACTTTAGTTCCATATTTATGCTCTTACTTGGCAACCTTGTTTGATCTATGCCCTGTTATGTCTATTATAGTCTTGAGATTCTTATGCTCTTGCGAAGAAATTGAGAATTAGATCATGCTCAAATGTTTCTCATACACTCATTAACAATTTAGTCTTTTATTATTATTTTTTGTTTGGACTTAATTTTCTTATTTTTTTCTCTGCTTTTTAATTTTATTTTTCAGTACTTAAACATAAACACAACAACAAATCAAAATATAAATATTTACATTAAAAAAAAAAACCCCAAAAAAAAAAAAAAAAAAAACACCCTTCATTTTTTTACAGCTACACGCCGATCAAAATAAACATAAAAAATAAAAATAAAAAAATCTTCATTTTTTTCTGGCCATACGCCGATCTTACTTACTTGCCTCTTCCATTGTTTTCTTCTTCTTTTTATCACCTTGGGCAACCCTTGACGCCCATGCCCCCGTGTTTTCGTCAAAAACGACGACTCCTCGCTAACTATCAAAGGCCAAGAACGACGTTGCTCTAAATCGGGCCATGGAGGTGGTCTTCCGTTTAAGCTCTTTATTTTCAGCCTTCAGTGCGCCTATTTCTGCTCGTGCATCCTTGTACATGCGCTGGAGCAGAGAGAGTTAGGCGTTGACCTGATGGAGCTCACTCATCCTGTTTTGCAACCGGTGAGCCAATTTTGTGACTATCGTCACTGTCTCCATACAGGACGTCAGTGTGAAATGATTGGCTTCTATGTCAGATTGAGCTACCATGATTTGCTCAATCGACATCATAGAAAGGTTAGGAAAAGAAATGACAGGATGAGTAGGAGTAGGGACACTCGGTCCAGCAGAACTTATGGGATCATTCAGACCCGGAAATAGAGTAAGGGGACGGGATGAGGAAGCCATGGTTTAGAAGTGAGAGGTGTAAAAGAAATGTGTTGCAGAGAAATAGAAGATAACAGACTGAGGTTTGACCTCCTCCGTTCAATTTTTTTTTGTTTCTTGATGAGGAAGAAGAAATAGAAGAGAATGGTGAAGAAGAAAATGGAAGAGTGTGTGATTAAGAAGAAGGCAAAAGAGAAGAAGACAAGAAGGGAGAGGGAGACAAGGCGAGTACAAATCGAGGCCTGCTTTTGTCGGCCAATGACGCAAAAATGAGGCCGCGTGTCAAACGCATTTATCGAAGGAAAAAGAGAGACGCTGGCCAGTTGTATGTGTATGCATATATGTATATATATTTTTTGAATTATATACATGTCGTTTATCACTATCATTCTCCTCCTCTAGATTCTGACCCATGATTTCCTTTTACTAATGTCACAGGAGGAGAAATTATATGATGTTATATATTATGGCATTATTTTCAAACTAATCTGATGTTATGTATTTATAGTTTGATATCTTAATCTTATATCATGTTGCTGATTAAAGCTTATTCATTACACATGTGCTAACCTATGTATTTAGAAATAAATTCAGGGAACATAACTTGAGAGGGAGCTTTTCTTACTCTCAAATCAAATCAAAACATCATTGTATGCCATCATCAAAAATGGGGAGATTGTTATACTTATTTATTTAATTATGTTTTAATTTATTTGAAAGAGAAAAATAGAATCCAAAATTTATTTTGATGATTTATTTGAAAGAGAAAAATAGAATCTATTCAAAAATTGAGTTCTTGTGCATAATCATGTTTTATATTTGATGTAGATTCAAATGATCCGAGAATGAACTTGTTTAATGATGAGTTAATGCTTACATGATTCATTTATGACCTTATTTGAAGTTGGATTTGTGTTTGAACATGTTCTGAAACACCTACAGGTTGAATTTTCAAAGTTGGAACGTTCAGAATCAACCCCATGCTGTTTGATGTTGCTCCCTTTCATCAGAGAATACTTTGGTCAGCAAAGGTGTTGACCCCTTTGGAAAAGTGTTGATATTATTTTCCAAGGAGTGCTGGATTTGTATAGGAAGAGGAAGGTGTCGATCCATTACTATTTAGTGTCGACACTGTAGTCAGAAAATTTCAAACCTGACAGCATAGAACAACTTTTTCAATGGCTCTTTTTTCCATTAAATGCACTCCAACCACTTCCAATAGTCAAGAAGAGATGACAGCTATAGAGGAAGATTTCTACACATCTACAACGAAGAGATCAAGGATTAAAAGAGAAATTCATCAATATCTTTCCAGATTTGAGCCATAACTTCTACATTATTTGTTCTCGAGCTTCATTGTTTATTTCTAGCTCTTTGAGAGCTTATTGTACCAAAGAAGTCTTGTCCTTTCTGTACACTATTTGTAAAAGGCTGTTGAGCCCTTGGGATTGATTGCTCAAGTGTTTGGGAGAAACACTTGGAGAAAGTGAGAACTTTCATGCTGCCTTTTATGTTGTGTTTGGTTGGGGGATTTGGGGAGGGATTTGGAAAGGGAAAGGGAAAAGGTGTGTGAAACTATGTGAAATGTAGATATATTTTTTTCACATTTCACCTACCTTTTCCATTTCCCTTTCCAAATCCCTCCTCAAATCCCTCAACCAAACACAGCATTAGAGAAAAACATAACGTTGTTCTGAAGTGATGTTGGGACAAAATCACTTGGTGTAAAGATCAGTAACCAGAAAGCTTGCTAGTTGTTACTATTTTGAAGAATAGTGAAGGAACTAAAGAGGGACATGGGCTTGGGTTAAACCAAAACTACTATAAATCTTGGAGTTTGAATCTCTTCTCTCTACTCTCCCCTTATCTTTCTTTAATGCGTATTGCTTTCATTTCTTTTGAGCACACATCCGTACACTTGCTTATATTTGTTGTGTTGTTTTTTAATTTTTTATTTGTCAAAAGCTATTCAATGCCCATATAAGCTGGAAGGCAGGACCGAAAACGAGTAAAAAATACAAAAACAGAAAGCATAAAAATCAGAAATGAATAACTTTACGTTTGATCGGGTGATGTCAGATGATACAAATGGAATGCATGACGAGATAGATGCTCCTCTGGCACACACATTATCTCCATTTGTTGCTTTGGATCGCGGATTCGTTGTATCTGATTGAAAATTTTCCAAACATCTTGACAAATAAGCCAGAAATTTAGAAAAAGAGAAGCAGGGGAGTGCAATGAAACGACATAATAGGACATAATTTTTTTTTTTTTTTTTAAAGAAAAAGATATGCATACACTAATGTTTACTCTGATAACTAAGCAATAAATAAAGAAAAAGGTGGGAAAACAAAGGAAAAGTTGTTGAGCTGCATGAGCCTACTCGAAACCATCATACTAGCCCTACTAAAAACCATGATACTAGCCTACTAAAAACCATGATGCTGTGCTTATCCCCTAGCACACCTTATCCAATTCAAAGGAGACTCCCAGCTTTTTAAAGCATGCAATGACAGCCTTGGCAGTTCCAGACGTGTCCAATTTGCTTGCTTGGTGAGACTCCATCACCTGCAAGATTGAAAATACACAAGATGTCAGTCTAAAGACTCTAAACATCCGCATATAGATTCAAGGCAAAAGTTAGTATTGACTTCTAGATAGATTAAGTAAGTTAGTATTAACTTCTCAACCACAAGTTACCTAAACAAATGGGCTGAACTGTAACCCAAAAACCTAAGTGTTGGATTAAGGCTTTATAAAGTTGATACAATTAGTGCTCTTCATAACAATTTATCAAAAGTGGCATGACTCAATATTCACATCTCCATACCAAAATAGTTAAATAAAAAATTTCTCATAGCTTCTGGCATGCAGGCCACCACAACAAAGATTTGTACTGTTAACATTGCTGATGCCTCTTGGGATATTGAGTAATTATATATGGAAAAATCAAGGCAAAAAGCAAGCAACACTAGATACAGATGAAAAGGAAAAGTAAAACCAAAAAAAAAGAAAAAACATAGAAAAATTTAAAAGTTACCTCCAGGGAATATCCAGAGAAGGCCCCTGGAAATTGCTCAGCCATAATTTCCATTGATGCAAGAAATGCTAAAACCTAATCAAGACCAGCCAATCAAAATTTCAACAAGACAAGGAAAGACAAATTGACAATGTTAAATTATATAAAAGCCAGTATACGGCTACTGAATCTTGATCACCTGTTTTCCCATTTGAGGTGAGATCACAGCATAAACTTTTGAGTCTTCTACAGTTTTATACAACCGCTCCCTGTCTCCACCAGTAGTTCCCATTACAAAGGGCACCCCAACTCTACAATATAACTCTGCATTATCTGAAGATTGCATGATAATAACAAAACCATTAACTAAAAGCTTGCTAATTGGAAATTTCATGATCACTGCTTTATTCCTGAATAAGAAAATTATGCAAGCAACTGGATACATTGGCAGAGGATAAGATAATAATGTCACTCAAATAGCCCCTACCAAATGTACGAAAATTGACCCAGCTTTCCAATATTTACCTCCAATATTTACCTTCAACTTCAATAATTCTAACATCACAAAAAATAACACGGGAAAATATGCACTGCGTTTAATAATTCTAAAATTTGGTCATGGTGGACAGGGCTGTGAGTTCCATGTGTAGCCTCCAAGCCCAGCTATTGAAGTGTACTCCAAACAAAATTTGAGATATTTCTTACATCTAAAGATCCATTCACACTTACCATTCACTGAAGTAGGCACTGTGTAGTCCACCACAATCAAGTTTGGATACTCCTCAAAGGCAGATGTTAAAACGCTTTCTCTTTCAGAAGGACCATACAACTGAATCTCTTTTCCACCCACTTGCACAATTTTCCCAGACTCATTACTTCTGCTAAATGATATAGGAACAAGATGAATTCCTTTCGAAGCAACTGCTTCTATAACTGCCTTCCCCATCTTACCAGTACAACCATTCACCTGTATGAGAATATTGTAACCACAAAACCACAAGATGAATCAATTACACAAAACAAAATGGTAACCAGCCACATAAAAAAGACACAACCTAACCTACATATATGATCACCCTTATCATAGCAAGCATAAAAGATCGATGAAATTTTTTTAACAGCCATTCCAAGAGTGTGAATTTTAATGGACAACATAGTAATCATTAAGGCTTAAAGTAAAATTAATATAGCCAAATAGTGGCAAAGTGGTTTGTGAAAGTGAAACCAGATGCAACCCAAGCGATGGATCCCTTGTTAATGTTCACTTTATTGAAAAATTTAATATATATATATGTAGAGAGAGAGAAAGAGAGAACATGTTTACCCTTAACCATGTATGCAGTGAGTATGTCACCATCGCTGACACTGACTGGTAATTAAGAAGGTATTCCATAATGTGCTTACAAGAAAAATTCAAATGTAATTAAGATGGTATTCCACACATCTCTAACCTAATTAATATACACTCACTGACCAAACTCAATGCTCAACTATGGGATTCCTGGGACTAAGCATCAAAGTACTGCACGGTATCCAAATCAGTGCCAATAAGTGTTAGCAGACAAGAGACTGGAGCCCCTTGCCATAGCCTCCATCCACTTACCAAAATGCAGGCGAAATAGAATGTTACCAAAATGCAGGCAAAATAGAATGTCCTGCTCCTGGTTTACTATCCTACGCCATCCTACTTAACTACTCCTTTCATAGCCATCCCCCGTAGCATGGTAGTATTCTGTTGATTCTGTCAATTTGATGCAAAAAATATGTATTTGATCTAAAACTCATTTAATATGGGGAAAATTTTAAAATTTAGAAACTGATTTAAGAAAGACAGGGACAATGACTCAACTCTAACGTTCAAAATCATTTAAAATCTCACATGTTAGAAGAAAAGAAGATATAAGCTACTTCAGCTCAAGCATAACAAGAAAAATCGTATTGTCATTATATGTACTTGGATGATTGCATATGTGCAAGTAATATGCACGCAGCAATACCATTTGTACTGCACTATTATGAACATATATTATTTGATAAATGGAACTCGATTTTCTGGATATATTGAAGTAGTGGGTTTAGCAATTCAATTGCCCTAAACACACTTTGACTGCAAGAGAGTAAAAACATATATATTGAGCAAACAAACATTTTTTAGTGAGACAAAAAACTGAAAATGAACATCCGTTTAAGGGTATAAGAGATTAATGTGTGATTACCAAGATTGGAAGTCCATTGTGTTGGGACACAATTGACAACAATGGAATAGTTGATCTCTGCTTTCTAGAAACATATCTAGCACATCTCCTTCGTTGAAATAATAAGGAGGCACAGTTCTTGAATCCTTGAATGGAAGTTTGAGGCACTTGAACAACAAATGACATAATCTGCACTGATAATGATGATGTTTAGGTCAATGGGAATTAAATTTGAAAACAATGTTAATCATATAGAACTCTTATAACCCCAAAAAATTAAAAATTAAAAGATTCCCCTATGAGTAACAAAACAAAAATAGCGGGGGTTTCACAAAATACAGATTCATCTTTTTCGTAATATTCCTAACCCTATCAACAAAAGAAAAGAATTTAGCTTCTTCACTTCTTTCTCTATTCCTTTTCCAAACATTGTTATTGTATGAAAAAAAATAAAAATGGATTACATAGTAATGTAGTTAGATTGTTTGTGGACATTGTTGTGTTGCTTATACCCAACATAGAAAATGTACCTCAAATTGATTATCATCTACATACCAATAACAAAATATATACACACACACACATATATATATATGAAGCTCAGAATCCATATACAAAAAAACAAACATTGTAGAGAGTAAAAGGGGAAGCTAGCACAGAACGATGAAACAAAAATGTACAGAGAGAAACCTGGAGTGAGAGAGAGTGTAGAATGGTATTCAGAATCAGGCAACTTTGGTTTTTGTTTTCAGCTAAGATTTTTCTACTCGTCTTTCAAACCCTTGCACTTGATAATATGTAACTGTACTTCTTTTGTTGTGAAGCTGCCACGTCAAAAGTGAAATAAATGTAGCGCTGAGATTTGTTTTTGTTCACACCGTTTCCTTACATTTGCTTAGTTCACACCTCACACAAAGTTGAATATTTTGATTTTCTCCCAATACACGCCACTAATTTTTGAATAACACCAAATTATACTTACCTACTTTACCAAACCCTAACCCTAGCCACTGCAACCACCAGCTACCACCACTACTCAGCCCTTCTTATTCACGTCGCCGCCCAATCTCTTGCCTCCCTCCTCCAATCGCCCGCCTTTCCTTGGCCTCCCGTCGCATCCTCCCTCTTCTACTTCATCTTTCTCCTTCTTCGGCTTGAACTGCTCATCTATTCTCCACCTTTGGCTGTCGTCACCAATCCTAGCTCCTCCCGACTACTCGGAATCGCAACCCTTAACCCCGCAACCTACCATCCCTATAGCCCTCACCGTCGCAAGGCACCACTGCTACAACCCTACCCAACGCGACCTCCAACTCGCAGCAATAAAGAGAAATCGAGATCCATAGTTGCAGGCGCGAGAGATCGATCAATCGGTCTAAGGTTTCAAGAACTGGAAAGAAGAATAAAGGGGGAGGTAGGGAGGCGTAAAGGGCGCCGTGAGGGGAAATGTGGCGCTGGAGGTGCGGCGGTGGCTATAATTGCAGTGGATGGTGGTGGGGCTGTGTGCAATAAGAAATTAGGGATTAGATTTTGTCCAAAAATGTAATCTTATTTAATAAAAAATAAATAAAAATGGTGGGTACAAAGAAAAGGAGTGGTGAGAAAATAGAATTATCTGAATGAGTGTATATATTTTTTGAATAAATTAAAAGTCCGAAGTACCAGAAGTTCAATCTACCATTAATAGTATACATATATTTTTTTTGACAATGTTACGTAATTCAAATTTTGTGATTTAAAAGTGACTTAAATGGTCAAAACGATATCGTTTTGAGTACAGAACAACATAAAAATGGCCAAAATGACGTCGTTTTAACTATTTAAACTACTTTTAAACTACAAAATTTGAATTACGAGACATTTTTTCATTTTTTTATACTATGTTAACATATGAAGTTCAACGTCTCCTTTTTCATTGGCTTATTTTAAAATTTTAAAATGTAGGTTAGAGCATGGATTAAGGGTGTTGTTGTGCCTTTAGCACATGTGGTAATTGTTGTATTTTAATTTGATGTATATTATAAATTTATTTTTAGGATTTGAACTGTTATTTTATAAGATTTATTGAGTATTTTGTACCTATCAAAAATTATATTAATCAGATATTAATAGTTATATGATCGATAATCAAAAAAATAAACAATGAAGGCGTGTTTGATTTGATTTTGAGAGATAAATTTTTTTTAAAAAAAATCTTCGAGAAAGAGTTTAGAATTTTTTTTGATTTGTTTGGTTGTATATTTTGGAAATAATTTTGAAGTGTGGGAGTTTAAATGATTTGATATTTTATTGTAATTGAGTAGATGTGTATGAGAGAAAAAGTGATTAAGAATAAAATAGGAGAGAGAAAAAATAATTGATTGATGTATAGGAGATAGAAAGTGATTTTGGAAATTTTTTTCTAAAATCACTAAACCAAACAAAATTTTTAAAAAAAAAATTCAAAATTTGTTTTTCAAAAACAAACCAAACAAAGCCTGTGTTTTTCTTTTGAAAAATAGCCTAAAAAATATGCAATTCGATCATATAGTTATTGATACCAGATTAATATTACTTTTTGTAGGCATGAAATACTTAATAAATCCTACAAAATAAACGGTTCAGATCATAAAAATAAATTCATAATACACTTCAAATTAAGACACAACAATCACTGCCACCCTTAATCTTTAGAGCATCGGCATCTCTCTCTCTAAACTCACCCCGCACCTATTTTAAAGGGTTGAAATTCCTTTATATACTTCCACGTGCTTTTCTAAACAATTTCATAAACTAATTTTTGATACAGTAACTCCCTATTTATAAGGAGTCACTATAGCTCCTCTATATATTGAAAAAGTGATTATTAAAATAAAGAATTAATTTTTTAATAATATTTTAAGGTAAAATTTAGGTAATCTGCTAAGGATGTTCTTAAAAATTAGTTTTTTAATTTTTTTTAACATGTATAAAAAAAAATGATATAATTTAAAATAAGTTAAAAGTTAAAAATTAATTTTTAGCCAAGTTCTCAAAATAGGCCTTTGTAAGCATCAAACACATACTCAAATTTTTTTTTTATTTTTTGAGACAATTATATATAAATAAATAAATAACTGAGAATTTAAGTTTTGTAATAAAATAAATTTTTTATTTTATGAATTTTAATTTTAATTTTTTAAGAGAAAAATGGTAATAAATTCAATCTAAGAAAGGTGTAAGGCAATAATAGGTCTCATGAGTTTTTTATTTTTTATTTTTTTTTATAAGAAGTACACTCTTTGTAAAATATTATAGTAAGAAATACATTTTATTATTTTGGATGATATTTTGTTTCTAATTTTATCCCGAAAATGTTTGGGACCCCACAAAAAAGGACCCCCATGACCCCCACTGATATATTGACCATTGATGTGTTTGAATTTTTTTTAAAAGTTGTGTCTGACAGTGATATAAATGATTTAGATCATTTTGGGATTGTGTTTTGTGGGAATCTCTATCATTACTGTTTTATCCCTTAATCTATTTGTTAATTTTTTTATCGGTTTAATTTTTTCGACTATCTATTCAAATATTTTATCTGCTTAATTTTTTATATTTTTTCTTATCCGTTGAAACTAATCTATTCAATTTTTTTTATCTATTAAACTCATATTTGAAGGCCCATTTTTCCTATATGTTGAAATTCACAAACTTGCTTTTCCTATTTGTTGAAGTTCTTAACTACCAACACCCAAATATAACAAAAAATATACATAGAGATATCCGCCAAATCATTTTTTTTTTTTTTTAATCTGTTGCAATCAACAACAACTATTTGTAAGACTTGTAGCTAATTACAAATGCTTCATTTCAAATATTTTTAAAAAAAAATAATTTTGTCATTATCATTTACAATAAACAAGTTGTTAAATTAAAATATGTTCTGTTTTTTCTTGGGGAATATTCTAGTGTTGAAAACAAAAAATATAGTAACCAAACCACAAACTTTTGTGACATGGCCTACAAAATTTTAAACATTTTATTATGCTAATTTGTAATAAGGTTACACATTTTTTTATTAATGTTACGAAATTTTATAATAAAGTTACTCTATTTGTTATAAGATGCATATGACACACACCTACATTTAATGAGTTAAACTATTCAATTTCATTTAAAAATATTCTTATTTTTAAAATTACTATTAAAATACAAAATTTAAATATACCATAATAAAAATCCGTACCTTGCACAACCCTTTTTTTTTTTCTAGTATATACATATATACACAAAGATATTTTGATCATTTCGCCTAAGCATCTCCTTATGAACAAACTATTAACATTCATTTCACCTTTTGAATAATTTCATACTTGGATATTTTTGTGGAATTCCAAGTTGTGACGAATGAAAGATTCGGAGGCTCCAAACAAATGTTAATAGTAAACAAAAAGAATAATAACGAAAGGAAATGTCGAGTAATATTCCTATTTCCAAAAAAAATCAAAACAAGCACCCTAACTAACATGCAAATCTGCTAGTTGATTTAGAGGTTCACCATTTTCGAAGGCCAAAAATACTGTGCAGCTCTTAAAGTACAGTAAAAGAGGGTAAAAGTTCTAAAAATAGATTCAAAACCCTCTAAAACTCATTTTAGGGTCTTCCGGTTTCCTTCCACCCCGTCCTCGTCCTCTTCCCCTCCCCCTACCCCTCCCTCTGCCTCCCATGCGTCTGGAAAAAGATTTTCCGTGCTTCATCTCCACTAGCGAATGCAACAATTCATCACATAGAATGCAACCACTATGCAATGTCGCTCCATCCTTCAAAGGTGTCGTTTTCTTATTAAAGTCAACTTCAATAATAGTCGAGTCACATTCTGGACAATGTTCCTTTGTCGTGGAAATCTGATGAGCACCTTCCGGAAGGAAAACAAGGCAATTGCACATGTTACAGTAAAGCCTCCATTTGGGAGCGCTAACTGGGTCAAGGACAAGTGTCCCGTTGCATTCTGGGCAGGCACAAACCCCTTGGGCTACAAGAGAGTGACGGCACGTGGGGTGAGGACAGAGGAAACATGGCATGCCAGCTCCTTTTCCCAACTTTCCAGAAGCCCCGGCTTTGGAAGCACCGAAGATTGTGTCTATTCCTTCAAATGGAGGACTGTTGTAGCAATAAGGGCATAAAGGGAATGTCTTGCCTTCTGGGCCGGGCAAGGAGAAGAGCAGAAGCTCAAAGTTGTCCAAGGGGCAAGTAAGTTCTTTGTATAGCTGCAAAAGGATTTGCTTAGTTAGCATTCGTTTGGGAAAAAGTATAGAAACAAACAAATGGTGCTAAATGACAATAATAAATTCATAATTTGCATTTATGTTCAGGCTTCCAATGATAACCCTTTTGATGTAAATGACAATACTAGCCCTTATTCACTTTAGGATCTTACTCAATCAGAAGTGTACAAAAATCCAAGCACTGTTCTTTTGTTCGTGAACATTTGTACACGGTTCAATTGGTAACTCTAGAGCAGGATGCTCCACCATGGAAATAGCTTTCTATTTGAAAAGAAAGCAATTACTCCAATCAAACATAACATGAAATGATAGGAAATGATGATGCTTAGCCAATTTAATTAGTTCCCACATCAATCTGCGTGTCGGGCACAAGTAAAGACTAGCAACATGCTAATGCCTACAATGACTTCTCTTATTTTGGTGAACACTATTTTCATTCAGTGTATAATTTCTTTTTCATGTATGTAACTTAGGAAATTTTAAAATATTATTGAGATAACTACACTGATCTCCCCTAAGGTTTTTGACAATTACAGGGAGCGTCCTCTACAGTTTCTAAATTACACTGTAATCCCTTAATTTTTTTGCAATATGCAGAGACCTCTCCTTTACTAAGTTACTGTTAAAGCACATAACGGAAAAAGATGTGTAAGCTATTTTAAGCGTTAAAATACCATAAATTCCCTTGTAACAGGCTCGTACTCGCAACCGACAACCCAAAACCCTATTATACAGATTTTTAACACCAAACAAACCCAAACATTCCCCGTCTTTTCTTCTCCCTGACCATCATGGCCACTTCCACCACCCCTATTATACATGTTTTTACAACCAAACCAACCCAATGTGTATAAGCACTACCTCATCCAAGGTTACACCTCCCATTAGGCTGATACCTAAAGCAGTTGGAGCCAACCTTCTTCCAGCTTGTACCTGAAGTATGAAGGCAGAGTGAATACTAAAATCTTGGGCACCCACTAGAAAAACTAAAACCCACAAATATGCAATCAAAATTACCCAAAAGGATATATGTTGCTTACAAACCTGAACATAGTTCCTTTTATTACGACAAAAACCCACATACATGCAAAAAATCTCACATGACAACTAAGCAAGCTTCAAATTCTAAATACCCTCTTACAAGAAATTGGCCTAGACAACATAAGAACGATAAAATTATAACAGATGTATTCAAGTGCATTTTGTACGATTCATCCTCAGTGAAATAACCATAATAAATATTGCAAATGAACAGAAGGTTGAGATATATACACACAACTATTCAAATTACCTTGATTGCACCCTTCTGAGGAACATAATAAACTTCCTCACAAGTACCACAATATAATCGCGAGGGTTGGGTAGAGATGTATTTCATGTACCGCAGGCATTTCCCACATTTACTAAGCAAACGTCCAGAATCTGAGAGTGGCGAAAATTGTGCCTCAAACAATGCATCCATGTTGTCAATCTGCACCAAATAAAGCAGACCAATATGCTTTGAAAGGAAAATTTTGAATTTGTAATCAAAGATCAAGGCTTTTTGCATGGTAAACTAAATACAAATTCTCAAGAAACTAGTTTAGTATGGAGCACTTTTGGAAGGGGAACAGTAACACCATGCAAGAAGTCATTCTTTTTTCTTTCATCACAGATCTAATAACAAGTGGGTCAACACAATCAACTGCATTCTAAAAGGTTTGACACTATCAAATGGCATATGAGCTCATCCTTAGACTATCACCCCAGCCGTCAGGAAGATGGACAATACTGTTACTAGCAGTTTCTGTTCACACTTGATATACAGGTGATAAAAGCCATTAGGTTTATACAATACTGAATGAAGTCTATCTCAAATTCTAGTATATCAAAAGCATTGAAACCAAAAATATTTATGACTCTGAATAGATTCTGTTTTTAGAACTTTCATGTTGTTATTAATGTCTCCTATTGTGATTAGGGTTTCTTCTTATTTATTTAGAGACAATTTAGTATAATAAATAAGACGAAGAGTAATGCAATATTTTCTCTTTTTTCTCTCTACCATCTTTACTTACAATGACATGTATGCATCGGGCATTTTTATAAATGTTCGTTAAATCTATCAAACACCTTCACTTGGCCAAGACGTACATACTCAAACAATGCCAACTTTAAGAAGTAACATTTGAAGAGACAAGGTTCTTTAAGTACAGATAATTGATTGGACAAAGTCTAGAAATTATCAACTGAATGTTCTTGGCAAAGGAACATCTAATTTATTGGTCAAACACTTTCTAGCTGTCTTAAAGAGATCAGACAAAATGAATTAGCAGCAGTGTTACAATCTCAATAAAACAGACAGGGCACCAGATGTCATTGTCTGAAAATTTTCCATTGACCTTTCCAAGGTGAAGCATCGAGGAGAACACTCTGAATCTTCATAGTAACCACTATAAGGGCAATGATCCAAACCTTCATAAGTTTTAGATACCAATCAAAATTTTCCTTTCAACACCCCTCCCCCAAGAGAGAGAGAAAACCAAACCAAAGAAGAAAAAATTGTGCAAGGAAGTCGAACTATTGTCCAAGACCAAGAATTTTTATTATATTAACCCAGATAGCTGTGGATGCTTTAAACTTCAAATATATAGTTTTGGACATGCAATCAGAACAAAACATTCAAGTCATAGTTCTAAATTTTTTTAAAGAATTGTTTAAATAAAAAGTTAATTAATAAGGATCCAAGTCATCAGATATTATCACCTGCTTAACAAAGTAACTGAACTTCCCCTTAAATTGTTGTATTACATGCTGCACAACAAGAGAATGATCTGCTTGACCCTTTGCAACAAGAGTAATCTGTTGCTCAATAAAACTCCGAATGTCAGGCAAACAGAGATCTGGATCAATGCATTGATAGCCTCTTATTAGGCTGATACCTAAAGCAGTTGGAGCCAACCTTCTTCCAGCTTGTACCTGAAGTATGAAGGCAGAGTGAATACTAAAATCTTGGGCACCCACTAGAAAAACTAAAACCCACAAATATGCAATCAAAATTACCCAAAAGGATATATGTTGCTTACAAACCTGAACATAGTTCCTTTCACAGATATTGTTGATATGTACAGGGATTGATGCATCCGTGCCTATTCCATTCTTCTCCATTAGAGAGATGAGCTCACTCTCAGTAAGATAATCCGGGGCCGCAGTCTCCCCCTGAAAAGTTAAAACTCAGCTATCTAATTGCAAAGAGTAGCAATAATTGAATATTACAGGTTTGTACACAATAAATTTCAGATTCTTTTCTTTTTTTTCATTTAATAAACATAAAAAAAACAGTAACACAATAAATAGGCTTCCATTCCACCCATATGCGGTTAAACCAAAGCTGCTAAAATGGCCATTCCACAGGATTGCATTCTGCAAATGGAATAAACCAGGCATGCTATACAAATAGGTTTCCATTCAACCTTTTGGTTACAACAGAATGAATACCTTAGAAACAGGGAATGGAACTAATTTTTGCAAGCAACGAAGGAATGGCAACACCATTTCTCATTCCATTCCTTGTGCCATTCTATTCCCACCTCATTTTGTTCCTATAGGCCAAAAATAGTGTAACAATCCACAAGTTCAGATATTAAATGTTTTTACCATGCATTAGGTCATAGTTTCTCACCAAAGAATGAGCCATTTTCATTGTGCCTATCTATTTCTATTATGGTCGGCTGTCAAAGTTAGGTTGATTTGTTGACAGCCGCCTCCTTGTCCAACTGGGGAGGGGCTTGTTATTGTAAAGCTATCTACGCCGAGTGTGTCAATTGAAAGAGGGGGGGAGACAACTCAAATGCCATTGCATAAATAGAAAGAATTGTGCCATTCAAAGTGAAAATTCGTCTAAGATCCATGGCTCACTAAGAAAGGATGACTTCTATTTATGATATGAATTTGTGTGTGTTTTTTTTTCCTTCAGGCTGTGTTTGGGTCATGGACTTGGAAAGGGAAAGGAAACGTGAGCGCAATTTGAATGAAATACAAGCTATATTTTTTCTCTATTTCCCTCTCATTTTCCTTTCCCATTCCAAATCCCTACCCAAATCCATGATTCAAACATAGCCTTAAAGAATTTAAACTATAGTGGGGGCCAATAGTCTGGAAACTAAATCAGCAAATCAACTTCAAAAACCATTAGTCAAACTTGCAACAAACCAGAAATGAAGTTCAGTACCTCATACAGCTCAACTTTTAAAATTTCTATTTTCTCCCCTTTTGTAAACTGAGGAAGATTTTTCTCATTCACTGCTAACCATGGCATGATAGCTGTATATCCCTTGGATGTAACACGCTGCCCTACACAATGGAAGAATTCCCCACCAACTGAAAAGTCAATCTTCGTCCTGGAGTGGTCATCATATAGCACATGTTATAGAACAAATTAACTTCTATGTTTAATATATAGTTAGATATTTTTACTAAAGAAAAAAAGAAGAAACTGATACATTATATAATAAATGAGAAACTATGGCACCAAGAAATGTCAGCTAGTTATTGAAACAGAAATCATGGTAGTAACTAGAAATTTAAATATGCACAGCTCATTTCTGGGAACAAACATATGCAATGGATCAATTAGTCAAAAGTTATAATTAGCATAGGCCATAATAGTTAAAATTCTTTTTGTTTCACTCCATGGGAAATTTTGTTTTTAGTCAACTTTAAACTATATTTTACAAATTTTAAATAATTATACTTGTCCATTGCTCCCTATTTGTTGGACCATTATAGATGCTCATACCCATACTTGGTGACTCATTTTGCTGGCCATCTCCTGTTAACGACTGCGTTACAAAGAACAATGTTTATGATTAAAATAACCCAACAGAAAATTTTACTTGTCAGTTGAAATTTCTACCCAGAAAAAAGGAAAAAAGAAAAAGGACTTCTTAACAAATGCAAGTGACCCCTTTCCATCTGGTTAATCCCAAGGCATATGAATGATTCCATACATCAAGCACCAAAGAATTGAAGAGGTACCTATAGACTAGATCAACAATAGGCCCACTTTATAACAAGAAAGGAATGCAATCTTTCGCACGCCTCACATGTGACCTCCCAGTCATTCAACAACATATTTTATTTATTTTAGTTTCTTTCTTTCTGTTTGTCAAGCCGTGTCATCCTTTTCCAGTTCCTCTGGCTTGCGAGCTCTCCATTGTCCATGCCCATCAAATCTATGGCCTCGGGTTCTACGTTCTCAATTCTCTCATTACAAATATGGTAACTATAAACTTGAATGATTCAAATTACCTTCTTCGGTGCTCTCAGATAAACTCAATACTTATTGGCCAAAAAAATTTAGCTCTTCATCCAAAATCCAGTGTATTTATCTTGGTATCACACTGATCAGACACTCATTAGTTCCTCAATGCTACCTTATCTGAGCTGGGATTAATAGTTAGACTTCATACTTTACAGCTGTCTGGACCTCTCTCGAGCATCATTCACCCAACAACATTGTCCACATGTCTACACTTTGCTTCCACCTAATTGTCTCCAACCAAGAACAACCAGTCCATTTCTGAATACCTACCATATGCCAAGTACCTACTATATGCCAAGTCCTTAGTTGATTCCTTGGCTTCAATTGGTCAGCCAGTCTCCAACTATGATTCAGAGAATTATGTTCTTTGTGGTTTGGGTCCAACATATAAGATTATTACAATTGCCACACTTTCCATCTTTACCCTTTTTTTTTAAGATCTACAAGAATGCCTCCTATTGTTTGAGGCACAGACATCGATTCCCACTCCACCACCACAAACTGTCCTGTCCCAACAGTATTTTGGTAACTAGGTGTCTTCTTTTGTCCATCCTGGTTCTGGAGCACTAGTATTGGTCATTGAGGGAGACATAATAGGAATTCAAATTGCAACTTGGGTTTTCACAACCATAACAATTGTGGTTCTAGAGTTCATCATGGTTATATTAGCGCCTCTAGTTCCTTCTAGCAATTGTGAAATGGTGTTGGGCATGTTTCTCTTCAGTAACCCAGGTGGTGTGCTAGCTCAACTGCTGAGTCCCTCCATACTGCCTTAGCAAATCTTTAATTGGCTCAACAATCTCCTCAGTTGGCTTAATCCTTCACAGGATTATCCGCAGCAGGCCTGTCAGTCACCAGGGTATCAGTCCCATTTTCCTTATCAACCAACGACATCATTACCCTAACTACTATCCAAATACTGGTGCTACCCATCCTTGACTGTAGCCCAGTCTCCATAGAACCATACTGTTAATATTGGTTTCGATTCGAATTTTCTTGGCAATGGTAATCATCTCCCTATTGCCCAACTAGTAACAATGCTCTTCCATTAGGTTCTTCATTTAAGCTACCAGTGGTTACCATGCTTCTGCTACACATATTAAGAACATTGCTGTTGCAGTTGTCTACTTAATTCAGCTGAGTAGACGAAGTAATTAAGTTAGATATCATACTCACTGGAAACCTGAATGTACTACTCATCATGCTTTTATTCTGCAATCTACACAACTTAATATCTTGGATTCTTTCAACCATGCAGACACTGGGCCCATTTGGTAGAGCTGTGGGAAAGTGATTATAACTTAACAGATTATAACTTATAGCTGTAAACATAAGCTGTGAATCTGTTTGGTGTAGCTGTGGGATTATGGATTTAAGCAGCAGAGTGTTTGGTTAATAAGCTGTAAAATAACTTTTTACTGTATAATTGTCCATTTTACGCTTATATGATATAAAAATGATTATTTTGTCATTTTTTCAGTTTTAATTTTTAAAAAATTATTTCATTAATAAAAGTTAATATAATTTGCATCAATTAATACTAAAATTAATAATAGTATCAATTAGTATAATTTTTTTCATTTTTTCATTACAAATTAATTAGTGTCACTTAATGGCTTAATTACCATCAATTAATACTAAAATTAATAAAATACTGAAATTAGTGTCATTATAAAATTAGTGTCATTTATTTTGTCAATTATATTTTTTCATTTAATAGAAGTTATTTAATTTATTATTTCATTTTATTTAATTTATTATTTAATTGTGCAATTTAATCATTATCATTTTTTTATTATTTTGTTTTGTTTTCATTAATATCAATTACAATAACAAAGATTATTTCATTAATAAAAGTTAATATAATTAGTATTACAAAAATCATTATTTTCATTAATAGTATCAATTGTTAATCATTATTATTTTTAATTATTATTTATTGATATTAATTGAAATAAATTTATTTAAATTGTGCAATTTATTTGAATTGATTATTTTTGTTTTTAATTTTTGTTTTAAATTGGTAAAGAAATTACCAAATAAATTTATTTTTGTTTTTAACTATTAATTTTATTATTTTGTTTTTAATTATTATTTATTGATATTAATTGAAATAAATTTATTTAAATTGATATTTAATCGAAATAATTATTATTTTTGTTTTTAATTTTATTTTTTTTGAAATAAATTGTTTTTCATTTTATTTTGAAAAGTAAATATTAATTCTGAAATAAATTGTTTTTAATATTGATTTTTTTCTTTTTTTTTTAATTTATTTTCTAGGTTTGAAAACCCTAGCTCCGGTAGCACAGCGGCGATGACCGGCGCTAGGGTTTCAGATCGCGATGACAATAGAGCTTCAGGCAGAGCTTCGCGATCGCGATGGTTCAGACAGAGAGACAGAGCTTCAGGCAGAGCTTCGCGATGGTTCAAACAGAGCTTCAGGCAGAGCTTCGCGATCGCAATGGCGACGATGGCGTTGAGAGATCGCGATGGTTCAGACAGAGAGACAGGAGATAACAGAGCTTCGCGAGCTTCGCCGGAGAGAGAGAGAGAGAAATCATCGGAAATCTCCAGAAATTATCGCCGGAAATCGCCTCTTAAGCTGCTAGAAATCGCCCCAAGCTCTCTCTCTATCTCCGCGAATGCGAACAGTGAACAAAAGTGAAGTTTATATATTGGCAGTTTGGTAATTCTTCAATTTTTGAAGGGGTATTTAAGTCATTTTGCCCCTCCCAAAACAGCTGTGCGCATAAGTTGTATTTTTAAGCACCTGCGGAGCAACTTTCAATTTAAGCCGAAATTTGGCTTAAATTAAGCCATAATCTATCCTCATAAGCTGTACCAAACACACCAATATAGCTTAATTTAAGCCAAAAACTGATTCAAGTTGAAAATACGTTTTACCAAACGCCCCCACTATAAAGCTCCTCCAGGAGATGAAAGTAACAGTTTTAGGCTAAACAAATATTTTAGAAAATTAAGAAATAATTGTAGATAAATGGAAACTGGAAATCATCCAAATTGTTTTTGCATTAAATTCATCCTGAAAGTGAACCATAAAATTTGCTGAATGTGAAAAAAAGTCAAATTTTAACATATATCTATAAACAGGTTAGCCTCACCTCAACTCAATTATAATCAATCCCAATAGCTAGCCATGATTTACAAAAACAATAAAATAACGAAATAATATAATCAAGGAAATTGCCACGTTTGACTGTTAATTATGTAAAAAATAAAGGCAAACGACCACAGAACTCCTAGACATATGGACAAAAATATAAGCATTTTTTACCTTACATATTTGCAGTCAGGTGACACAGTTCCCAGAAAATGTTGACAGACATACTGATAAAGTCTCCAAGCATCGGTGCCTAGCATGTCCTCTGTGGCTGAACGCATTGGAGTTATGGGAGGGTGGTCACCTGCATCTGTCCCTGATCGCGGCTTAAGAAAACCATCTGCTAGCACTGTCTGTACATAACTACCCCATGCTGGATTATTAACAAGAGCCCCAAGTATGCCTCTAAAGTCAAATGATGAAGGGTATGCTGTGCTCTCAGTACGTGGATAGCTATAGAAGCACCCGAGAGAGAGAGAGAGAGAACCCAGTTATTAGATTCCACAGTGACCAAAAAAAATGAACCAAAGGAATCAATTCAAGATGTTCAATATGAGTTCCACAACCATATTGCAGCAAATCTTGCCATAAAGCTTGTGTTGAAAAATATGTACAAGGATGGATGGCACTACTCTTATCTCTATTGAAGTGGAATGGGGCCTTGACAGCAATTAAAAGATGTAGCCAACTTAAAATACATAAAGACTACGACATTACCAAGATTTTAATAAACATGTCACAAACACCACACACCCACATACACTAATAGGCAAAAAGAAAAAGATAGAAGCTAGTGTCCTTTAGAAAAATGCCAGAGGGTTTCAATGCTATTAACAGTCACTCTTCTAAAATTTAAGCTTTTACCGAGGATAGTTTTGGTGAAGAACTAACAGTGATAGAAAGAATATATGAAAAACATTAAAAGTGAGCCTGCATATATGGAGTCATATCAGAACCTTATAATTGAAACTAATAGAAAAACAGAAGTGTGCGCACTAATCTGACGTCCTATGCCAAGCAATAATAATTAAAAATAAAATTCCTTCATAGTAATGGGGGATAAAGCAAGGAAACCTGATGAAACCTTGAGTATACAAGCGCTCAGCCAGTTGCATAGCCAATTGGGGTCCAAAGCCCAATGCACTTGAAGCAACCTGAGTTAATTAGCACAATGTATTTAATATCTCATAAGCAGAGGTACTATTTGCATTAGGAACTTGCACATAAGTTATATATATATAATTCCAATCTACATACTTTCCAAAAGCATTGGGAATTATGCAAAGAAATTTCCTATTAAATGTAGCTAATTGTGCAAGTAGTTTACACCCATAAAGCAATGTCTTGTGTTGATCTTAATTTATCAACTACTAGTTGGCCCTCCATGTGCTAACGACTTGACACCAATACAATGCATATACATTGATAAATTATAAAGAGTGGAATAATTAGGGCATTTAAAATCATATATGGATGCTTCCCTTTAAATTTTAAAAGTGAATGCAATTTTTTTTATACTAAAATTGGATGGTTAAGCCAATGTTCAAAGCATGTAAGTTTAAAAAAACACAGAATATACCATATGCTTCTTTTCCTGTTAAAAAAATATCAAAGGGGGCATTATTTTGGTTTTCCTGGAATATTTGTCCATAGGCATTTGACATTATATACATTCGGAATTGTATATTACATAAGCCCATAAATAATCCCTGCAAAAATCTTTTCCCTGATTCATTTAAAAAAAAAGGACCGACATGGAACTGATTTTAAAAGCTATCGGGTGAAATCTATACGCAAATCAAGTGCTAAAAAAAGAAACTAATTAGCATGTCCTTTGCACCCATAGCCCTCCACCTACCTTGGTTCGTTTTTCACCTCCCCACCAGCTCTTTCTGATAGTAAATTTTATAACGCACTTAAACTAGTGTTCAGTATGTCTGACAGAAATCACTCTCATTCAGTTGTAAGTAAAATTTAAAAAAATAGTACTCCCTCACACATGTGCCTGCACACACAAAACTCCAACTACAAAACCATAATAGTGTATAACAATAAACCAAATCAAGCCAAACTAAGGGCTTGTTTGGTTTGTATTTGAGAAACATGTTTTGAGATAAAAAGTATGAAAATTTGTTTGGTTTGGTTTTTTTTCAAAAGATGTTTTGAAAAATTATTTTGAGAGAGAGTTTTGAAAAAAGTGATTGATTTGATGTGTATGAGAGAGAGATTTGTTTGGAAAACTTGTAAACCAAACAAGTTTTGGAAAAAAAATTTGGAAAAATTTGTTTGGTTTGATTACTTTTGAAAACTTATTTGTAGAGAATTTTTCCCAAAATTTTTTGAGAAACACAAACCAAACACACAAACCAAACAAGGCCCAAGTCTTGTGTCCCAATCAAGTGGCTCAGCTACATGAATCCTTTTTTAACCACTCCGTTTTGTCAAGGGCTATATGATCCGTTAAATTTAATAAATCCATATCCTTCTTTACTACCACATTTACGATTATGGTGGTGCAGTGCCATGCTCAACAGTATGTTGCAAAAAAAATATCATTTACAACTTGGATGTGAAAAAAGCATATTGAGAAAAAAATAATTATTTAACATCTCCCAGTGTCCTTCGGAATTAGATGACTCTTACACTCGGACACATACCACGAACAAACATATCTCCACGTATCATAGCCTAAATATCAAGAATAGTACAAATTTGTTTCTATATATGCACGACTCTTCAAAATCAGTCTAATATAATAGCAGACGATAGCAAACAGCATCATTCCAGCAGTCCAATCTCCTCCACTAATCTCGATGGCCATTAATCATATATCAGACAACCAGCTTAAGCAACTCAGGATTTTGTAGAATCTTGATGCATTAAGCATAAAACAGTTTTCCTTTAGCTTTTTCACTTTTCACTACCTACTCTTCTTCCAGACACAATGTAAACAACTATGTTGAATGAGTTCTGGCAATTATAATTTCAAAAGTATAAACTCACCAACTTTTGAAAGATGAATTTATTGTTGGACTTCTCATCAGAAACCATACATATAAAAGTCAAGGACATATGAAATCATACAATGCATGAAGCAACCAGCCAGCAAGATGAATTCAGAGTTTGTTGAGTGCTGACCATAACTCATTGCTAATTGGAACTAGAAATGTTGAAAAAATGGGGAAAAGTAAATGATAATACTAAACCTCAACTTGCTCTTACCTTCAAGAGGTTCACTGTATTCAGACCAGATGGCCGAGCTTTGCACTCTTGTTTTTCTGATATACTAGTTACTTCCACAAGTCCATCCTCCATTATCAACTTTTGAAACATCTCAGCAACCTGCAATAAAAAAAACAAAAGTATAAGAAGCACAAGAATATGGAGGAAAGCTATTAGACATCCAGATCAAAAAAATGTAAAGCGTAAAGGACCTCACATCTGAGTCAAACAGCTTATTTCGTTCCCAATCTAACTTAAGTTCATAGCCATTATGCATTATGTAAGGATGCACAGCCCAAAACTTTTCAGGCTTAAAAGTAGTTATTTGCAAGTAGCGTTGTACACAAAATCCAAGAGTAGGTGTTTGACATGGCCCATAGCTGAAACAAGAGAAAAAGAACATTATGATTCCCTCCAAGATGAGAGAGAGAGAGAGAGAGAGAGAGAAGAAGAAGAAGAAGAAGAAGAAGAAGAAAAGAAGTTAAATTATTCATTGATCAGAAGAAAAGAAAAAAGTTGACAATTAAATTGTTAGATAGCTTGATATACATTGTTGCCCCCATTTCCTGCAATCTTTACATATTAACTGGTGTCTATGAAGCACGGACACGGACACAGACACAGACACAGACACGGGACATGGCAATTTCAAAAAAATGGGACACATACACGGCGGCGGACACGACAAATTATTATTATTTTTTTAAATATATATGTTATGTATTTGCTATGTAGATTAATTTTATATTACCAAACAATCAAAATTAATAAAAACTAATATTAATTTAATGTATATATAAAGACCATTACATTTAAACATTATAAACATATATTCTATATATTGTAAACATTATATAAAGAAAAAATTAAATATATAATAAAAATAAATTTACAATATATAAATTTATACAGAAAAAATTAAATTAAAATATATAATATATATATAAATATTTAATCATAAAATAAATAAAAAATAAAGAAGAAAGAAGACAAAGAGAAGAGATGCAATATATATAAACTAAAATAATATATATATATATAAGTAAAAATATCGGATCAACAGAGAAGAGAGAAACGAGATAGACCAGAGAGAGAAGACAAAGACGAAAAAGAGGCGAGAGGTGAAAAGAGAGAAGAGAGCAGAGAGAGACAAGACAGACAGAGAGAGAGACGAGAGAGATGGAGATCGACTGAGAGAAGAGAGATAGACGAGAGAGAAGAGAGATAGAGACGAGAGCTTTACTACTTACCAGGTCGTTCGGTGATCGAGATCGATTGAGAATCGAGGAAGAAAAACAATGATGAAGAAGAAGATGACGAAGAATCAAACAAAGGACACTCATCGGAGGGACTATTCGTCACCTCACGTCGCCAAAGGGCTTCATCTCGTTGCGTTGCCGGAGGGCTTCGAAGGCAGTTGAATCAGCGCCATTTGAGTTTGCGGAAGTGAAGAGATTCAAGCACAACAACAAACAAAACCTAGGTTATATATATTTTGTATTATTACAAAATAACCTTCTCATTTTTTGTTTTTTAAATATTACACTTTGACCCCAAATAAATATAACAAAATTAAAAATGAGCCCCGCCATGTCTCGATATGGACACGCGTGTCCCCAACAAAAAAATCATTAGATTAAAGGGACATGCCATCTGGTATGGTGTGTCCCGTACGTGTCCCCGACATGTCCCCAGCATATCCGCGTGTCAGACACCGCCACGGCACCAATTTTGGAGCGTCCATGCTTCATAGACTGGTGTTCTGCTTACAAGAAAATCATCTATTTGACTCTTACTTGTCCACTTTTAAAAGTCGTCAAGTATTTCTCTCTCGTTTTTTAAATACAATGTTGGCATTGGCAACTATAAAATCAAATGCTACTGTGAAATCTAAGACGCCCTCTCCAGACAGGTTTAGGTCACCAAAACTAAATCCACGATATACCCTCTCATACCATTATTACCTTTTCCTACATGACCGTTGAAATCTTTACTTGTAATCATCTTCTCTCCTACAGGTATTTCTAGCATTATCTCATCCAATTGATCCCAAAGTTGTCCTTTAATATATTCCTCCAATCCTATTTTGGAGGCATTGGCACAGACCACAGTAATTATACTCTACCCAATCCTATTTTAGATGTGGTTGTCCTTACCTATCAACATTTGATGCCTAGGCTACAATGTCACAAGCAAACAAAATATGTCCCCATCAAAATCAAAACAAACATGCACCAAGAGAATTTAAAAAGCGAAAAAAGAGACGAATATATTTAAAATAAGCTTTTATAACAGAAAAAATAATACAACATTTTAAATAGTATGGCCAGAGGAGAGAACCAACGAGATGACTCTAGAATCAAGATTTCCATATTTTCCTTGGAAAAAACTGGTTTGAAATCGTGTAAATGCAACTCCAACTTTCAAGTCTATCTCTTGACGAGCATCTACAGCCAATGACTCATCTTCGTTGGGTTCCACAAGGTTGCTCATAGCCTTTGTAATATCTTTCTCCGAAACAGAAGAAAACCTTGCACGATAAACTCTTCTACTCTCATTTAGTTGAAATCCAGCACATTCCATAACTGAAATAAAAAATAACAAACTAAAAATAAATAACATAGTATACAATGTCTATCAGACATTATTAACACTATATATGAACTCACTGATAATATTTATAAATAAATAAATAAAACTACTATAGATTAACACACCGACCCTACCAACATAAGGATGAGCAGTTGCATTCATTTATTATGACAATCATGCACATCACCATTCCTTAATTACATATTTTCCAGCAAAGCAGAATAAGGTTGAATAAGAACTTTTCCATTCAGCATTTCGCCAATGCTAGTATTGAGCAACTAAAATTTAGCTTCATACAAGATCCACAGTTTAAGTAAAACACAATGCTCGACATGCTCAAAGTGAGGTCTTGGTTTACAGGATACACATGAATGCTGTTAAAAAGGGCGAACAAAAAAAAGTAGATTTACATGCTCTTCCTAGGAAATACTGCAAAAAATAAATATTTATATACATATATCAACCAAATAAATAAACTTGTCTCCTTGCCAATTCATACTTTTTCATAATTTGGTTTCTTCCCTTTTTCATTGATATGAAACAAGAAACATATCCTATATGGAAAAGCAAGTAGTAAAAAGGAGCAAGCATGAGTTATCTTTAAAAAACTCAGATAGCCAGTTAAAATACAAAAACACAAATTTATCTTCACCATATACAAAATGTTGAGGAATACATTGATTTGTTGTAGTAAGGACATTTTGTAATTTCGATAAGGAGTTATAATATAAATACTGCAGACAATTCGCAAGCCAAAAATTTAGAACTCTTTTCAATTTGTACAAACTTCAATTTCTCACAAAGTTCTAGTCATAAAAGACTTCTAATTGTAAGCTCCTCAAATTTCTAGAAGCTTGAATTCGACCCATTCTTGGCCTTTTGTTGGAGATGATTTATCAACATTCTAAAAGTTTGGGTTGGACTAATTTGATAATGAAACAGATTTCAAAACTTCAACACATGGTGAAACTGATTCTCTAGAAGGCTGAAATCAAGCTATTCTTTTTTGGATTAATTCAAGCTATTCTAGAGGTTTTATTAGAGATAAGTTAGCAACATAAAGAGACGATTTTATCTATATTCTAAAACTTTGAGTTGGACTGATTTGACAATATATATATACACTCCAGAAATTTCAACCATGACTGAAACTGATAATGAAGTCTCAATGTGGCAGTGTTCCTTCCAATGGATTCAAGTACCAAAAAATAAAATTTTGACTTGAGCTTGAGGTGAACAATGACCAGTTAGTAAGAGTGAAAAAAAGTACCTTCAAAGCATATATTTTCTCCTTCTCGATCACAATCCAACCATAATACCAGATGACTACAACCACGAGCTTCTTGGCTTAAATGCCTACGAATATGAGCCTTATTTCCAGGAGATGAAGTCAGGAAAAATGCATTTAAAACATAACAGGGATCAAGAGAAAATATGATGAAGATCATGGAAATAATTACCTTAAGAATCAAATTAAAAAACAATTAAACAATTTAATTAAAAGTTCTATAAGCATGTAAGATACCCCAGGGTATAATTTGCAAGAAAAGCATACAGAAGAAACTTTGCACAACAACAAGCATGATACTGCTCGACCAAACAATTATAGGTTTAGAAGCAGAAAAGTTTTTCTTCTCAAAAAATAAACAAAAAGTTTGTTCAAACAAACCCCAAATTACCAGTAATAATGCTTTTTCTGAGTTTTAAGTAAATGTTAACACGAGCAAAAATTTGTCTAACACATATATCATAAGATGCTGATTGACGCATCCAATTGCCCAAGTCCTCACTTGCATGTGCCCAAACATGCTTATGCATGTTTGCACATGAAATTTAAAAGGATACAAAATCATCAAAACCATTTCCAATTAAAACCCATGCAACACAATTATCTATAAGAGAAGGAGAAAAGACTTCTTAAGAAGTTGCAACACAATCCAGCATTAACAAACACCCTATGGCACTAATTATGACCCGTGGAGAAAATTTGCAATCTTCATGGTTTTCACTTGGTACAGCAAATCCATCATTTATAAATTATAGTTCTAAGTGACAAGGAAGAACCTTTTTCCATCATAGTGTTTCAACTTGTGCAATATTTAAAAATTGAAAACAAGGAGCAAAAGTCTGAAGTTGCATAAATGGCAAGTAAAAACAAATTCCACCTTTGGATTTGATTCCGTCTTAAGTACTGGAGCTTGGAAAAGATCAAGAGGATCTGTACGTGTCCAATCTTGAAAAGCTGCTGGAAAATCTACACTAGATTTGCACAAACAAAATAATTCCACGTTCAGAATTCCAAGACATTAAGGTTTTGAAGCTCAGCGAGAAAAGCATCAATTATACCTATTAAATTCCAAGTTTCAACGTAAACTGGTGAAATAGTAATAGCTCACAGGCTAAGATGCAACATATAAATGTAAAGATGGCAAATCCAAAAATTTATAAAGGATTATAGTTCATCCAGAAGTGATGTTCAACCATGGTCTTTCATTAAGTTAAAAAACAAGGAAACCTGAAAACATGTCCAATGACCGATGTCACTTTATAATGAGCATGAAATCCCAAAAACGTTCCATCAAATTCATGGACCTCAGTACTGCCCCTTCGTGTTGACATCTGCAGCAAAATATGCCTCAAGTCATTGTTACCTTCAATTTGTCATCAAAAAGACAGCACTGAAATAAATCGAGAATACTGCTTGAAAGGATACCAGAGGTGGAGAACCGAGAGGAAATTGCCATTAAAATTGAAGTTGATGATAGTATACAAACAAACATGCATATACACCAAAAATTACAACGTCCATACTGCAGGCCTACTTTCAGTTTAAGAGATATGCAAAGTTAAACTTCTACCTAAAAATTGAAAGTGTCCTAGAGAGGGTGAATAGATGTCCTAAAGAGGGGGTAAATAGGACACTAAAATTTCTATAAATTTTTTGAGCCTATTTCAAATTTTTAGGTACTTGTCAAACTTGATATTTGACTTGTCGTAAGCAACTTAAGTATTTGGTTGGGTAGAGCAATTTATTTTCTTCAATCAAGTTTACAACCACAACCTAGGCCAACTTCTAAATATGGTTCTCCTTCAATCTAAATTTTTGACCAACGAAAGGTCAATTTTCAATTATGTACTCAATCACAATATTTATTTTTCACATGGGAGCACAACTAATGGCTCATGCATTTATAGTTAATCAACTTTCAAGACAAGCTAATGCATGAATCACAATCATCTCAATAGCATGAAGAGATAAATAAAAAAATAGTAATAAAGCTCATAAACTAAAGAGATGCACACAAGATTCTATAGGGGTTCACATATTTGCCTACATACACATACACTCTTGGCTCCTCACTGACGTAACTCAACTAACACAGAACACGGGTTTTCGATAGCCACACCCAAAACAACCACCACGAAATTGCTAACCTAAACACTTCACTATAGTATAAATCTAGACAATGGACTTCAAGAAGAGAACCAATCCTAAAGACCAAAATGTCTATAACGGAGACTAGTGTGGCGTGTGATATATAATAATGTACCAAATACACTAAAGGGACGACATATATACCATCCACAAGTGGAAGAGCTGCAAGACTACTCCTTGGAGTGAGCTCATCTGCAACTTGAGTTGAAAGTTGAAGGCTATTCTCACCCTCCAAGAGTTGGAACAACACTTTGGAAATGTTTGTGAAGAGTAAAAAAGAAATAAAAACTCTCTAGGTGCCTTCCTCTCAATGTTTTAAAAGGCTTTAGGCGCACCAAGGCGATAAAGTCTCCTATAACCTAAGCGCGAGGCGTGAAGCAAGGTGCACACCTCACCAAAGCGAAGTGCAAGTAGTAGAAGAAAAGCAAAATTATAAAATATGCAGACTTTATAACATAACAAATATATATAGAATTTCAAAAATCATAACCATTTTTAATCATCTTTAAACATAGCATTCAATCTTCTAAAAACTAGAAATATAATATCCAACAAAAAATATAAAGCATAACATTCAATCTTTTATTACTTTCTGCTCTCTTTTGACCACGTTTTTAAATCCCTGTGAGTATACCCACAAAAAAAGCACTTAAATCAACAGTTAGAGTAGAAAAATAGGTAAAGCCCATGAAGCCCACGCCTCGCGCCTCGAAAAAAGCCCTCACCTCAGCACCACGTGCCTGAATATCACACTTGTTGGCACACACATGATTAAGTAAGGGAGTTTATTCATTTTGTGCCCCATAGTAAGGAGACAAACATTCAGATTCCAAGCAAAAAAAAATACAACCAATTGTTTTAAAAGAATTCAATAACACAAAATGCAACCAATTGTAACTAACTAATGCCTATAGATACAACCAAATTAAGCAAATCACATGCACAAATATTTTTGTGTGCCAGTAGGTGTGATATTCTATCAAAAATAAATATTTCATTGACAATTTGGGGTAAAATGAACTAATATCAATAGTTTAAGGAGGTGTTTACTACACCCAATAATGTCGGTCTAGCCAATGGAATGCTATCATGTGGCATATTTATGAAATGAAAAGTATATTTGTATCCAAGGTTGGGTGAGTAATGCTAAATGCTACAAAACATTCTTTCGTGTATGCTAAATGCTAACTACATACACGACTGTTTGGGAAACATACAACATATTTGAGAGAATGTTTAGCATTTAGCATAGTATATTTTGGTGGGAAACACATAATATGTTTGAAAGAATGTCTTTTAATCATCCAGGATTGGGCGAGGGGAGAATGCTAAATGCTACAAACATTCTCTCATGTATGTGTTAAACTATCACCCTTGTGTCACTTTACCCATGAACAATTGCCTCTGTTTGCAATTATTCCTAGATACACGGCTGTTTGGGAAGTGCAAAATAAGCCATCTCTTTTTCTTTTCTTTTTTTTTTTTTTTTTTTGGGTCTTTAGTGGGTTTTTTTTTTTAAATTATGTCAATTTTTTTTTTTACTTTTCCAGTCTGTCGAAATAAAAAAAAAAAAAGGCAAAAAAAAATTAAAATATCAAAATAAGTCAAAAAAGTAAACTATTTTTAGCTTATATCTGTCTTTTCTGGATTTTTTTTTAAAAATTCAGTTCCTCTCCTAGAAACCTAAAGCATTTTGAAAAAATAAAAAAAATAAAAAAAAAATCACTAAAAACGAAAATATGCCAACCAAAAAAAAAAAAAAACACAAAATAAGCAAATCCCAAACACCCAATTGAATCCCATGTGTCAAACTCACTACACAATCAAAACCCACTACAAAAATGGCCACAAAAGAAAAAATAAAAACTAGGGTTCAAAAAGGAAAACGAAGAGAACAAGGAAGAGCAGTCATACTCGGCCACCAGAGAGAACAGTGGCAATGGAGAGAGCAATACTGGGCTTCTCTGCTACCTATAAATTACAATTAATACATTAATTAATCAATTAAATAAGTACAAACAATAATCATAAATAAATAAAATTCTCGAAAGCCAAAATAACAAAGAGCTAAATAATTAGATTGAAAATCTTGGGGTTTCTCACCATGAGAACTTTGGGAGCCATTTTTGTATGATCTGATCGACTTTCCCGGCGGCCAAGAATTAATACTGATTTTCAGTCTCTGATCGGATCCCAACCCAAACAGGCCTCGTTGGGCTTATTACCGCAGTCTGATCTCTGTGGCCCAACCCAAAAAAGCCTAGCTTATTATTATTATTTTACTCTTCTTTTTTTTTTTTGTAATTGAATTTATTATTTTACTTTTACTCCATTTCTTTCCATTCATGGAAAAACATTAAATAGAAATTGGCAATTCAAGTATGAGGTGAGATATGCAAGTTGTCAACAATGATTTGGAACATTAATTATAGTACTTTAATGAAATACTAATAACATGGTAAGGAAAAAAAAAAAAACAAATCAATACCAAAACCATCTTGTTACAGTGAGTGAGACCCGTTATCAATTCATTAGAGCTGACTTTAAAACTCAAATTAGAATTTCAAAACATTTTTCTATATCTTTGACAAGACAATGGCATGCCATCTAGGGATCCAATAGTTCAGGTATATCATGTGCTAAGTGTTAATATGGAGTGTTAAATCAATACAGTTTTAAAGAATACAGTTGTTATTTATTTTATTTTTTTAAATTAATAATTATTGACAAAATTCTTAAAATTTCTTTATGTAGTGTGGCTTTTTTTTATTCGTATATTAATTTCATTGGTTGGGCACAGTGCTGATGTGAAATGCCAGACCCATTGAATAACTTCTCCATCTTGAGAAATCCTTTTGCGCTTTGTTTGGATTTAAAATTTGGGCAAATTACATATACACCCCTCCAGGTTTGGTTAAATTACAGATACCCCCCTGAGGTTTCGGAAATTACATCCCGCCCCTTTATTTTTTTAAATTAATAATTATTGACAAATTTCTTAAAATTTCTTTATGTAGTGTGGCTTTTTTTTATTCGTATATTAATTTCATTGGTTGGGCACAGTGCTGATGTGAAATGCCAGACCCATTGAATAACTTCTCCATCTTGAGAAATCCTTTTGCGCTTTGTTTGGATTTAAAATTTTGAGTGAAAATTTGTTACAGAAAAAAGGTGAGAAAATATAAATGAAATAAAGTTATATTTTTTCTTCGTTTATGTCATCGTTTTTCAAATTTTAAATCCAAACACAACGTTACCTAATTCACACAATTTTTTTGTGTGATGCACCTTTTTTTATATTAATAATCAGAAATAGTAAATTAAAAGTAATAATTTCTTAATTTCTGAATAATTAATTTTTCAACTCGTTTGAGATATTTTACCTAAAAATGTATAGGCAGAAGTTATATCAACACACAAAATTGTATAATAAAAAATCACGAATAATTGTTATAAAATAAATCAAATAGGTCCAAAGTAAATGAAAATGGAACCTTGAGGGACTCCACCCATTCCTAACTATACAGTACAATGTAGGAACCATGAAAAATGTAACACATATATATCATAGTAATAAAAGTTATATATAATGTATACTTTTTTCTAAGTGATGATGGAGGAGGTGACTTTGGGTTATGTGAATTGATAAATAAATATATATGCGGAAAAGAAGGGAAGTTTGCCGGTTACATGCTTGAATGTAACTATCAACTTGTCCATCAATTGTACCCTTCTTTTTGTTCTCTTTTGTTTAATCTTTATATATTCACAGTGTTACGTAATCCTTGTTTTTCTCTTTTACTTTAACTTTCCTTAATGTAAATGTTAGTAGAAAATTCCATAGCTTATGCTACTAAAGAAAAGCTACTCGAAATCCAAGATGCCCAATTCAAAGTCACATTCAAATATTATTATTATTATTTAAAAAAATAAGATTATAATTGTTTATACACAAAAAAACAAAAAATAAAAAAATTAGCCCTTGAAAAAGCGTCACGTGACATAATTATGAGATGTATTTACATTTGAAAGTTATTCGTTTATGGTAAAAACGACTTGGTAGGTGACTTGACAAAAAGTGAACGGATAGTTGCGTTACATTTACTGTTGTCACTTTCTATTTTTAAAAGATTGGTTGTTACTTTTACATTTCAAAAATAAGTTTTAAAACACAATTAAAGCAAGGTTGCAAGCAATTAGGAATTGTAAGACACATGACCAATTGTTATTAGAAGAGCGAGTATTACCTAACTTTAAGAGTTGTCAATTAATAACCAATAAGGTCATGTTTGTTTGGGTGGACATGAGCTTGGGATTGGACTAATAGTCCAATAAAATTATTAATCCGATGTTTGGTTAAACAATTGAAGTACGGATTAATTATTTTAAACTTGATTATTAGTTAAGATAGAATACATAATCCAATGGATTCGTAGTTCTAGGATTATTAGTCATGGAAATGCTAATCCAGTCCGCCCAAACAAACATAGCCTAAGAGTTAACAATTAATTCTAACATCTATAAATAGAAAATCAGAAGAATAGAAAAGACTTATGCACCACTCAAACAATTCATTACTTTTGTAAATTCATTCCTCAAATTGAACTTAGTCAATTTTGAGTATTATCTTTCAATTTCTAGTATTGTTCTTCAATTCATTTCAATTCCAGTCTCAATTCAAGCTGAACATTTTTTCAAAATTTTTGCATATGCATCATGTACTACCAACCACTAACGTTAAAAGCAAACCAAACTGTGATTCATAATAAGTTGTAAGAATTGGAATAGATGGTGCTAAACCAAAGCATGGACATCTAAATGTTATATTTTAAATATTTACTCAAAGTGAGCATATACATACCTATTTGACTTATTGTGACAAATATTAAACTAATATGAGGCGATGAACTTGCACTGTTATATATGCTAAAATAGTAATATATAATTTAATTGTTACCCATTAATTAAAAGAGGAGAGACATGAACGTGTAATGGGAACAACACAAGGTGTGTAAACTATAGTAGCATTCATTTCGGTGGGAGATTTTGATTTTGAGCTAGCTTAATAAATTAGCCCACTTGAACCAGAAAACTAGATAGTTTATTATTATCATTAGCATCATTTATTATTAAAAAAAAGAGTCTATGCTGATTTGGGTACAAGTTATAAGAATAATCTTTTTAAATATGAATGTAAAAATGGGTACATCTTATCGTTCTCATATGTTGCGTAGACAAAAGTATTCAGAATTTAAAATATTTGGATCAAGTTCATTTGCTTTTATGCAATTAGAGCACTTCTGCTTTTATTTTTGTTTTTGTTGACATTTTATAAAATTAAAACTTTCAAAGATTGTGTTTGAAATTTGAATTTATAAAAAATAAAAGGAAAAAAAACAACAAATTTCGGTACGAATTCAAAGATCCAACACAACCCAAAGTGTCCTGAATGATGGAAAAGCTCTTTGGATTGGCATTGAAAAAAGGAAAAAGTAAAAAAAGAAAAGAAGAAACAAGTAGATCATTTGTAGCAAAAATATAACTCTAGATTGGCCATTCCTACAAGGAATAAGAATAATGTATCAAGTGAATTGAATGACAACTCTACAAAAAGCAACAAATTACAACTGTAATATTTTTTTGGACATTACCATGACACACCCTCTACAAAAACAAATGATCCTAATTCTTATTTTTAATGCCTGTGGAAGAGAATCTCCAGCAGTGATGTTGTTCTTGTTGCCTTGTTTTTTTTTTAAAAAAAATTATTTGTTAAAGCAGGGTTTGTCCACATTTGCTACAATATCCTAATAATTTGAAGCAGTCAAAAAACAATTGCCATATTTCATGTATTTGTACACCAATTTAGTCAGCCCAATTCAACGCCTTGGGAGGCCTTGGCATGAAACCAACCAGAACTCACAATAATATATAGGGCAAATTACATATACCTCCTTCGAGATTTAGCTAAATTACAGATATCCTCCTGAGATTTCAGAAATTACATCCCGCCCCCTGAGATTTGTATTTTCATAACAATTTGCCCCCTGAGGTTTATATTTCATAACAAATTACCCCCTAACACCAACCTCCCTTTTAGTAAAGTTAAAATGACTAAAACTAATACAAATAGTATAAAAATAAAAAAATAAACAAGATAAAATATATATTTTAGTGTAAAAAGTAATAATATTACTTTTTTATTAAAATGAATAATTGGCTAAGTATTAAGTAAATTATAATTTTGAGGGACTTCAATGTAATAATGTTGGATTTATGAGACTCACTCTATTTTCTTCAAATTTTAAGGCGTGTCAAATTTACCCAAATAATAATAATAATAATAATAATAATAATAATAATAAACTTAACTGTTATTTATCTAACAGACCACGTATTTTATGAATTGTAAAATTTGGTAATCCATTTAATTCTGACAATTTTCTTATAAATCAATTAGTTTCGTTGATTTTAAAAAGGTAGATTTACTATATTATTTAAAAATTTGATTCACCGTTATACTTTTATTTCTATTATGCTTCTTTTTATTTTTTCTTTTGTGCTAAAAGGGTAAGGTTCATAATGTATGAGAATCAAATTTTGGATAAATTTTTATATGAAAATCTTTTTTATTTGAAAAACATTTCAAAAGAAATACAAAATGATTTAAAATATGAGATTCTTCAAATATTTCAAAAGGATGTGAGATTTTTCAAATATTTTAAAAAGAGTAAAAAAACTACTTAATAAGCTTTGGCCAAATATATAATTTCAAACTGTAATACTCCAGTATAACACTCAAACATAACACTTCAATGTAACACTAAAATAAAATAAAAAATCTTAATGTAATATCCTAATGTAACACATAAAAAAACTTCTTACTATATTTTTTTTAAATGAAAAACTTTAATATAACACTCCAAGATATAGCACTCCAAAAAAACTCTTTAATATAACATTCTAATGTAATACACAAGAAAAATCTTTAGTGTAACACTATTATGTTACACACAAAAAAAACTCCTTAATGTACTTTTTCCAAATGTAACACTCTAATATAAGACTTCAAAAAAACTTTTTAGTG